TTAATGTCCATGCAGACTATCTTTTCCATTGCTTTACTTTTAACCTTCAGTAGTTCTTTTTCCTTTTAACACTTCATTTCCACAAATTTTAAGCCTACAGAAAAGTGAGCTGAGACCATGAATTGGCCAGTAAACATCCATGCACTTGTCACCTAGATTTACCAGTTAATATTGTGTCATGTTTACTTTATCTCTCTAAATATCTATTTTTAAAATAAACTTTTAATTTTGGAATAGTTTTGGACTTACAAAAAAGTTGCATCTTTAATATGGAGAGATCCTGTACATCTTTTACCCAGTTTCTCCTGTTAACATCTTACCTAACCTTGGTTTAGTTGTTAAAACTAAGTAATTAATATGAGTACATTATGATTAACTAAATTGTATACTTTGTTTGGATTTCACCAGTTTTTCTACTAATGTTTTTTTTTACTATTGTGGGATCCTATCCAGGATAACACTTTGCATTTAGAATATACTTTTTAAAAATTCAGAACCATTTGACAGTAAGTTACAGACACCATGACGCTTAATTTTCTCATAGGTTATCACGCAACTCCTAAGAACTTGGACATTCTCCTGTATAATCACCGTGTTGTTATTGTCCCCAAGAAATTTAACATGATACAATAATATCAGGTAATAAGCTTTTCTAATAAAACTTCTCCTATGTCTCATCAATAATGTGTTCTTTGAAAAACTCCCAGGATTCAATCAAAGATCAAGTATTACATTTTGTGGTTATGTCTGTTAATCTCCTTTAAACTTGATCTTTCATGACAGTGACATCTTTGAAGACATCAAGCTGGTCATTAGCATGATGCCTTACAATCTGGATTTGTGTATTTTCTCATGGTTATAACCAGATTTAAAATTCTTGGCGAGATTACTACATAGGTGATATTTCCCATTGCATCATGTCAGGATTAATATATTGTGGATTTCTTCCATTATTGGTGATGCTAAGTTTGATTAGCATCATATTTCTGAGTTGAAAAGCTACTCTTCCTTTTTTGTAATTAAGTAGTCTTTGAGCTGATACTTTGAGACTTATGTGAACATCCTGCTGTTTTGATGTGAATGTTCATGTCCCCCCAGAATTTATATGTTGAAAGTTAATCTTCACGGTGTTGGTATTAAGAGGTGGGGCCTGTAGGAGGTGCTTAGGTCATGAGGGTTGCTTCCTTATGAATGGTATTAGTGCTCTTATAAAAGAGGTTGAGGGAGTCTTGTTGCCTTTATGCCATGTGAGGACACATAGAAGGCACCAACTATGAGGAATGGGCCCTCACCAGAAATTGAATCTGCTGGTGCCTTCCTCTTGGACTTCCTAGCCTCCAAAACTAGCATTACATTTCTGTTGTTTATAAATTACCCAATTTAAGGTATTTTGTTAGAGCAGCCTGAAGGGACTAAGACACTTGTTTATCAGCTAACTTTCACCAAGTGGTAGCATTCATGGATAAGCTGTCAGTTATTGCATTGATGGTTGTAACATGGTGAGTTCTTAAAAATGATAAAATTATTATTTCTTCTACATTTATTAGATATAATTCTTTTGTGGAGAAGATGTTTCCTTTTTGCTGCCAATTTCTTTTCTTTTTCTTTCTTTTTTTTTTTTTTTTGAGACAGGGTCTGGCTCTGTCACCCAGGCTGGAGTGCAGTGGTGCAATCTCAGCTCATTGCAACCTCTGCCTTCTAGGTTCAAGCCATCCTCCCTCCTCAGCCTTCTGAGTAGCTGGGTCCACAGGTGTGTGCCACCACTCCTGGCTAAGTTTTTTGCATTTTTTGTAGAGATGGGGTTTCACCATGTTGCCCAGGCTGATCTTGAACTCCTGAGCTCAAGTAATCTGCCTGCCTGAGCCTCCCAAAGTGCTAGGATTATAGATGTGAACCACTGTGTCCAGCCCCAATATTTTTCTTTCATCATCATTCTTTTAAAATCACTGTGGACTGATGGATTTATTTTTTTCACGTATGCTATAATCTGTTACCATCATTATTTGAATGCTCAAATTCTTCCAAGTTAACCAATGGAAGCCCCATTCAAACTGGCTTGAATACAGTATTTGTCCTTTTATAACTCCACATTAATTTTGGGGCATTTCTTCGTATAATGGCATAAGAAGTTTCCAATTTGCCTTGTGTTTTCTGTTTCAGAACTAGAAATCAGTCTTTTCTCCAAAGAACCTTGCTTCATTTTAATGCAGAGTGTTATTAAGAAACCAAGATCCAGGCGCTACTAAGGACCTTGTTTTTTAGGCCCTTCCAATAGACAGAGCTAAGAAATGCATACAGTAGTGTTTTTTAAATCATAATTTTATCTAATACCACTGAATTCTCTCTCATCTTTTCCCCTTTACAATTATATTTCCCTTCTCACACAGTAAGAACTCTGGTTCTCAAGAACCTCAATATATTTACTCATTTAGTCTATTAAAAATTTCAGAATTGCCAATCCAATTCTGTTAGCAATAAATAAGTAGAGTACAGTATTTGGTTTTGTTTTACAAGTCTTTGTGTCCTTAGAACATATCTCTCTAAGGGATATAGTCAGAGCACTATTTAAATATATATATATATATATATTTTTTTTTAATGGTAGAATGATTTTTTTTATTATACTTTAAGTTCTAGGGTACATGCGCACAACGTGCAGGTTTGTTACATATGTATACATGTTTAAATATTTCTTGAATTCTTTTTTGTATGTAGTTGCTTTTTTTTTCTCCCCCCCCGTCCCTCCCCTCCCTCCCTTGGCCCCTCCCTTCACCTCCCCTCTCCTCTCCTCTTTTTTTTTCTTTTTTTTTTTTTTTGTGACAGGGTTCACTCTGTGGTCCAGGCTAGAGTGTAGTCATGCAATCAGAGCTCACTGCAGCCTAGATCTCCCAGGTGATCCTCCTGCCTCAGCTTCCCAAGTAGCTGGAACTACAGGCAGGCAGCACCATGCCTGGCTGTTTTTTTTCTTTAATCAAGAAATGTTTCTTAGATTCTTTCTTGTATGTGCTTTTAATGTAGAATTAAAGCCATTCATTTCTCTTTATATTCAGTTTTATGGTTTGTTTTTTCTTTTTATCTGATTTTTGAATAAATAAAAATACATGATTCAGCCAGATGTGCTGGCTTGTGCTTGTAATCCCAGCCCCTTGGGAGGCTGAGGTGGGAGGCTTCCTTGAAGTCTGGGCAATATAGTGAGACCCTGTCTCTAAAAAAATTTTTTTTTTTTTTTTAAATTAGCCAGGTGTGGTGGTTCATACCTGTAGTCCCAGTTACTTAGGAGGCTTAGGCAGGCAGATAACTTGAGCCTAGGAGTTCAAGACTGCAGTGAGCTCTGATCATGCCACTACACTCCAGCCTGAGTGACAGGGTAAAACCCCATCTCTTGAAAAGAAAGTTCAAAAGTCAAAACCAAGAAAATTCTTACTCTCTGGCACCACATTCCCACTTACTCTATAGCTAACTATTGTCATTGGTTTCTGGAGTATCTTTCCTGTGTTTCTTTTCCCAAAAATAAGTGAATATTTATACTTTAGTTTCTCCTTTCTTAGAAGTAGCATTATGTATATATATATAAAATATGTTTATATATAAATTTATATATAATTTGCTATATATATATTATAATTATTTTCTATCTTGCTTTTTTAGTTAACAACGTAGCCTGGACAGTTTTCTACTTTGGTTCATAGAAATCTTTTTCTTGGCCAGTCATGGTGGCTCATGCCTGTAATCCCAGTACTTTGGGAGGCTGAATGGGGAGGATCACTTGAGCCCAGGAGTTCAAGACTCACCTGGGCAAGACTGCGAAATCGTGTCTCTACGAAAAATCTAAAAATTAGCCAAGTGTGGTGGCATGGGCCTGTAATCCCAGCCTCTTGGGAGGCTGAAGCAGGAGGATCACTTGAACCTAGGAATTCGAGGCAGCAATGAGCTATGATTGTGCTACTGCACTCCAGCCTGGGTGACAAAGTGAGACCCTGTCTCTTTAAAAAGAAAAAATCTTTTTTTCTCTTTTTTCTTCCCTCCTTCCTGTTTTGCCCCTCTTCTTTCCCTCGCTCATGTAATACTATTGTAAAGGTGTACTATAGTTTATTCAACCAGTCTCCATGGATGGACATATAGGTTGTTTCTAAGTTTTTAATATTTTATAGAATTTGTATAGAATGATACACTGAGTAACCTCATGAATATGTCATTTCACTTTTGTGGAAGTACATCTTCAGAGTAAATTTGTAGAAGTGGGCTTGTGGGTCTGAGGGTAAATGCATGTGTAGTTTTGTTAGCACATATATGGTCAAAAGCCACATATTTTTTCTTTGATGCGGGGGCATGTAGCTGGTGGTGCTGAAGGAATAGCAAGGAAGCCACATGAAGAAACAGGTCAAAGTGACTCGCTCAGGATCCTATATATTAGCAGCAGAGTTGAAGTAGAGCCCTGGCCTCCATCTTCATTGCAGTACACGTAGACGACTAGGAATTCGTGCATGGAAAACAGGAATGTATTTGACTAAGGCCAGTGTTACCAGGGCCATTAGGAGGTCAGAGAAAGGAGAAGTTTATATGGACCCCACTCGGGTAGAAAATACTTCACCCCCAAATTTACAGCATCAATAAGGTTTGTAATGGCCCTCTGCTGTGTGCATAGAGCTTGTATTAGTGTGTTTTCTTTTCTTTCTTTCTTTTTTTTTTTTTTTTGAGACAGAGTCTTGCTCTGTCATCCACACTGGAGTGCAGTTGCATGATCTTGGCTCACTGCAACCTCCGCCTCCCGGGTTTAAGCGATCCTCTTGCTTCAGCCTCCCGAGTAGCTGGGATTACAGTGCCTGCCACCATGCCTGGCTAATTTTTGTGTTTTTAAGTAGAGACAGGGTTTCACCATGTTGGCCAGGCTGGTCTCGAACCCCTGACCTCAGGTGATCCACCCACTTCAGCTTCCCAAAATGCTGTGATTATGTGATTACAGGTGTGAGCCACTGCGTCTGGCCTAGTATGTTTTTATATTGCTATAAAAAACTACCTCTGAGACTGGGTAATTTATTTAAAGAAGAGTTTTAATTGACTCTTCTCCACAGGCTATACAAGAGGCATGGCTGGGGAGGCCTCAGGAACCTACAATCATGGAGGAAGGGTGAAGGGTAATGTTAAAGATACATTTTGATCACTTCTAGGACCTTCTGATGTAAAGGCATATTTGTTAAAATCACACCCAGAGCTTTTATTGTAAGGGTACTTTTTTTTTTTTTTTTTTTACACTTTCAGAACTTTCCAATGTAAACATACATTTTGAGTACTTCTGGAACTTTTCATAGTTAAGGTACATTTTCTATTTTGCAATTAGAAATATGTGGAATAGTTATATTTTGGCACCTTGAGAATATTCAGTTCTCAATCTTTTTTATCTAACGGTTTTAATGCTTCTGAAGTTCCTTCCTGGTAAGTTGTTATGTTGGGAAATGGTGATATTCTAATGCTATTATTTCTTTTTCATAAATATTTGGCATTCTTTTGTAAAGCACATGCCTTTTTTATTCTTTTCATTTTATTTTTAAGTGAAAAAGCTGTGTAGCATATGGATTAGTCACTTCATACAATAGACATTTGATTAGAAAAGTTGGGTGCAAATGAAATGTAAAAATATGGAGTCATAGCTTACATGTACAATGGTGGTTTATTTTTCAAAGGAATCTTACTGTAAATCTTTTTTTTTTTTTTTGCAAAGCTAGTATCACCTTTTAATGTCTGTTATTTTTATAAACCTGAATTTTCATGTAGGGCACATTTATTCAACAAATTATTGAGAGCTTTTTATGTGCCAGACACTTTGGTAAGCACTTGGAATAGAGTAGTAAGCAGAAAAAACATACCTGTCCTTAATATAGGGTGCATCCTTACAGTTAAGAAGACAATGAAAGTTGCCCAGCCTGGTCTCCCTTGATTGAAGGCAGTTATGAAACTGTTTCTTGTGAGGAATCTTGATTTGGAAGGTATTATAGGCTTTTCCTAACAAACTGGTTCAAGTAAATGCTTTGAAGTTCAGAACCCTAAACAACCATTCTCTATGGGTCTGATGAAAAGAATATGTGGTATAATTGGCAGTATCCTCCTGATGTCTTTCTAATGTAATGTCGAATTATGATTGCAGATGCCTTTCCTCAACGTGAAATTTTGCCTAATTTTTTGTCTTAGGATATTTCCCAATGTTTCTAGGGTCCACACATCCATAAGACGTGTTCTAGAAGCATGATTCAGAAGTGTTGTGAGGACATCACCAGGCAAGCTCTGCTTTGGTTACTAGATTCCATATGGACTGGGTAGGAAAGAAGAAACACCACTTTCCTGGCATTACCAATGAAGTTAATGCAAGAGCAGAGAATTTCTAGAAGTTCTGAAAAGGCTTTGAGGCTTGTGGCAATCTACCATAGCTCAAACTTGAGGAGACCACCTTTCATAAGTTGGATTCAAATACAATACCTTCCCTGAAAGACGTTTTTTTGCTCCACTTTTGGGTTGGCTGTGGGACTTGCATTATTTTGCTAAATTGGACCAGCAGTTCTGGGGATGAAGAGAGGTCCCTGCTGCTTCTCAGTCACATGGCATGGCAGAAATCTGCAGCCTTCGGAATCTTCCAAGGAACAGTCAAGTGGCACTTAGCTAGATAAATGTTTACTAGAGGCATCTCTTAAAACAAAGAGTTTTCCACCAAAGATAAGTCTTTTTCTTTTTCTACTTACTCTATAATCCAGCAGTATCTCCCTATAGATTAGTAAGATGAATGTGTCCACAGTTAGGTGTATACCTGTCTTTTAAGAAAAAAGATGTCTGTCAGTTACACTGCTATGACCTCAGGTTCCAGAATATTAAGGGAACATTCTTTCAAGAGATGTTTCACTTTGGACTAATCCTAAGTTTAGAAGCCAGCTTATTGCCGAAGGGAAAAAGGATAGCCCAAGCGACAAGAAAACACTTCTCACTATGAATTGGTTTGGAAGTAACTTCTTCAAGTCTCCTGAGGATCTTTCCTTACTCAATATACACTCACCTCTGTTGTCATGTATGTCATCTGAAGATGAACAATATTTTATTTCCAGCTTGAGGTAGGGAATAGGATGAATTTTTCCCCTAGCTTTTGCTCTTTAGTTGGTCTATCAAATCAACCTCTGCTTACAAGGAGCCAGGGAAAAGAAAACTGGGCTTGGGAAGAAAGTGGTTGATATCTTTTCTCCATGTAAACTTGAAAAAGGGCACCTGATTTGTTCCTTCTGGCCTTTCTTGGCTGGTGACAAGAAAAGGGCTCGCTTGGGTGAAATGGTATTTATTTATTCTTAACTTAAAATGTGGAACCCTGACCAAGCAGAACTTTATTTTTAGAGACTGCCAATCATTTCTACCCGTTTGAAATAAAAACTCAAGGGTTTTGGCTTCAGCTGAATTGGAAATATTCAAGGAGGCCTAGGTGCAAGGCAAAATGATTTCTCAGTACTTCCAGGTGTGATTACGGAAGAGTGACATGAAACATCAAGGCTGAAGGACTAGGCATGTGGGAGAGGTGGTAGGGCTTGTGCTAGAAGAGGAAGAGGAATTGAGTGAAGTCAAAAAGGGGGAAAAGTATGTATCTCATCTATCAAACTTTAGCAGGAGTTAGCCTCCTACCTCCTGAGTTAAAGCCTCCCTCAGCTTCTGAGGGTTAGGGTCACCAACCATCTTGGTTTGCCTGGAACTGTACTGGTTTTAGCACTAAAAGTTCCCTATCCTGGGAAAACCCTTGGTCCTGGGCCAACTGGAATGATTGGTTACCCTGACTGAATCTTTTTTTTTTTTTTTTAAGAGATGGGGTCTGAGGCCAGGCGCAGTGGCTCATAACCTGTAATCTTAGCACTTTGGGAGGCCGAGGTGGGCAGATCACCTGAGATCAGGAGTTTGAGACCAGCCTGGCCAACATGGTGAAACCCCGTCTTTACTAAAAATACAAAATTAGCTGGTGTGGTGGTGCATGCCTGTAATCCCAGCTACTAGGGAGGCTGAGGCAGGGGAATCAATTGAACCCCGGAGGTGGAGATTGCAGTGAGCCGAGATTGCACCATGGCACTCCAGCCTGGGCGAAAGAGTGAAACACTGTCTCAGAAAAAGAAAAAAGAGATGGATCTTGCTCATGGGTTTAAGCAATCCTCTCACCTCAGTCTCCCTTGTAGCTGGGATTTTAGGTGTGCACCACCATGCCTGGCCATCACTCTGAATCTTAAGGCATTTGGGTAGCACATATGACAACTGAAAACCTGGTCCAGCTTTCCTTTCTCCTTCCTTTGTTTCTGAGAAAAGTATACAGAGTGCCCTAGAGCATACACAAGATCCTGAAGTTAGAATAATAACAGTGGCCATCAACTTCATGCCTACCACGTGTCAGGTACATGATCTTGTCTAATACTCTGGCAACTGAGGAGCTAGGATATTTTAAATCCAATTTTATGGAGGAGGAGACCAGAGCTGAGGGTTGTGACAAGTTGTGTTTTCTAAGATCAAACAACTAGAATGTAACTATTTGAACTTTTTTGTGTCTGAAATTAAAATCTTTGCTCTTTCTACTAGATGAAGAACTTGTGAAATTTGATAGGTAAATGAGCATCTTCTCTGGTTTAGCAGAGCTTTGTGGCCATAAGCTTCATCCACTGTTTGCATACTCATTCCTGTTCTTCATGGTAGCATAAGATTCCCTGAGTGTAGAATATAGAAAATCTGTCTAGGAAGCTACAAAAACTACTTGAGTCTGATACCTGTAGCAGCCCCTGAATAATCTTTCAGTTCTTAATGAACTACTGAGTTCCTGGTACATGGAAGATACTCAGTGAAAGGTAGCTATGGTTGTTATTTTAATTACAACACGTGAGCAATCATTTTGAACTGAAATGTCTTAGCCAATGTATGTCAATTCAAACATTTTAATATAAAAATAACCGAAGACTCGGTATTAAGGAAATAAATAATATATTTATCCTTGAGTTCAAAATTAGACAAACAGCCTAGACAATAAAGCAAGACCCTCATCTCTACAAAACATTAAAAAAAATTAGCTGGGGATGGTGGCATGTGCCTGTGGTCCCAGCTAGTTGAGAGGCTGAGGCAGGAAGATCTCTTGAGCCCAGGAGTTCGAGGTTGCAGAGAGCCATAATCATGCCGCTGAACTCCAGCCTGGGTGACAGAGCAAGACCCTGTTTCAAAAAAAGAACACACACACACACACACACACACACAAAAAAGGTAAACACAGAAAAAAACCATTTTTTTTTCCACTAAGGAAAAGCTATCCTCTTAGTTATTTGATTTGGAATGGATAGAACACAGTCTTCCTTGCTATAATAAATGGTGTCACACACATAATACTGAGTTAGAAGCAAAAATTCTGTTCTAAGGCTGCAAGCTATAAATGGTTCATTCCTAATCCATGCATTTAGCCCTAAGAAATCCCTCTACTAAAAGATGATTGAAGCTCTTAGCCTAATGATGGAAGCACCAACTTGTGGCCATCACATTGAAAGGTAAATGCGTTTGTATGGAGGCATGCAGAAAGCTAAATTTTAGGCTACGCTCTGCTTGTATTTCATCAATTCATGCCCATGACCTGTGGCTTTACTAGAGAATGAAACACAGTAAAGTTCACATAAATTTGTAGCTAGCCTTGAGGAGGACTCAAATATAACAGAAGAGACAAGCGAATCTATTTGGTCCAATTCAACAAATACTTACCATGTACCCATGAGGTTTCAGGGTAGTGTGCGGGATACTGGGTATACAGGGAGGAACAGCATATGCCCCCAACCTCAGGGAGCCATATGGAGGGAGAGGAAATAAGACATATAAAAGTAGTTTCTTCAGGGCCAATTCAAATCAGCATAGATGTCTTAGTCTATTTCGGTTGAGGTAGCAAAATACCATAGGCTGTGTGGCTTAAACAAAAGAAATAATTTTCTCACAGTTCTGGAGAATGGAAGTCTGAGATTAGAGTGCCAGCACAACTGAACTCTGGTGAGGACTTTCTTCCTGGTTTGCAGTGTGCTCATGTGGCCTTTCCTCTGTACATGCATGTAAAGAGACAGCAATCTCTCTTAAGGCCACTTTCTTTTCTTTTTTCTTTTTTTTTTTTTTGAGACCAGGTCTTGCTCTGTTGCTTAGACTGGAATGCAGTGGTGCAATCTCGGCTCATTGCACCCTCTTCCTCTCAGGGTCAAGAAATCCTCCTACCTCAGCCTCCCAAGTAGCTGGGACCACAGGTGCATGCCACCATGCCTGGCTAACTTTTTGTATTTTTAGTAGAGATAGGGTTTCACCATGTTGCTCAGGCTGGTCTCAAGCTCCTGAGCTCAAGCAATCCACCTGTCTTAGCCTCCCAAAGTGCTGGGATTATAGGCGTGAGCCACTGTGCCTGGCCTAAGGCCACCAAACTTACTGAATCAGGATCTCACCCCTACAGCTTCCCTTAACTTTCATTACTTCCTAAGTGCCGTGTCTCCAAATACATTCACACTGGGGGCTAGAACTTCAACATACATGCATTTTGGGGAATGCAATGCAGTCTGTAGAAATGGGCCCTAACTTACATCATAACAAACATATTAAAATGTACTCATACATTTGTTATATCCACATATATATATATTTTTCTGTACAATACTTGAAAGAATTTTTATAATTTTGTTTTTGAGATTGTTTGACTATGAATAACTCATTTATTTATGACTAGTTGCTGCTTTGCAACCATTCATATTTGGGAATTTTTGCGAAATGAGAACTTATAAATTGTTTTCAAAATGTTAAATATTTGTATATTCTAAATTTGGCAATTAATAAAATTGACATAATGCTAGGTTTTTGTGTTTAATTGAGCATTAATTTATTTGCAGTTTTTATATTTTGAAGCTAATTTTTTTTCCACGGTAGTTTCTTGAAAAGCTCGTCAGACCGTGAGAACTGTCTACAATGCTTAATGGATAAAAGGGCGGGGGGTATTTCATAGTTCCACTTCACACTTCTAGACAGGTCACTTCCAACCTAACCTCTCTTCCAAGCTCTGGTACATTATTTCCAGGCCTTTGTTAAGTATTGTCTTGATTCTCACTGACATTTAGACTGAATATGTTCCAAACATCCCTACATCGTATTCTCTTATTCTTTTTTTTTTTTACTTTTTGCCATCTCTCTTGCATTGACATCACCACCTAGCTAGTGGGAGACCACTGCAGTCACCATTACTAGTGTCCAAATCTACTGGTATCAGGTTTCAGAATGGCATGAATGCTTAAAAATTACCTGAAAGCCTTGTTTTATATTGATTTCTGTACCTCATTCTTGGAAATCTGTGCACTTGGTCTGAGGGAAGGCTTGGGAATTTCTTTTTTTAACAAGCTAATGTGCTATCATCTTTGGGAAGGTGTGGACATGATCAGTATTGATGGGATGAAAAAGAGATGTGGATCTTAATAAGATCCACAGTGTAACTTATACTATAATACCGTGAAATTCCATTGGCTGTATTGCCAGAAATCTGAGGTAATGGGCTCCACAGCTGTTTCCAAGATAACCCCAGGGTGTTGTCTTCAGGGTAGTTAGGAGCGTTTTGCTTTGGCCTCCAGGCCATGTGTCCCAGGTCCTGAACTTTGGTGACTATTACTGCAACAACTGTTTTTTTTTTTTTTTGAGATGGAGTCTTGCTCTGTCGCCCAGGCTGGGGTGCAGTGGCGCGATCTCAGCTCACTGCAACCTCCGCCTCCTGGGTTCACGAAATTCTCCTGCCTCAGCCTCCTGAGTAGCTGGGATTACAAGTGCACGCCACCATGCCCGGCTAATTTTTGTATTTTTAGTAGAGATGGGGTTTCACCATGTTGGTCAGGTGGTCTTAAACTTCTGACCTTGTGATCCGCCCGCCTCTGGCTACCAAAGTGCTGGGATTACAGGCATAAGCCGTCGCACCCTACTGCAACAACTGTTATAGGAAGAAATGCTGCTATCTCTTATTTTGTCTCAACTGTGAGGCAGGCTCTTTCTTTAATTCTTCTTAGCACATCAGAAATCAGGTGCAAACTCTTAATGAGGTTTGCCGAAAGAGAAGCACAAAACAGAATAATTACCACACTGCACAGGCTCAGACATTCTAGGGCCCTTCTACCCCACTCTTGACCCACTCCTTCTATGAGGCCAGGTGCAATTTACCCTTCACTATGGAAATCACTCCAGACATGCCCTTGGTTGAAGTTCAGGCAAAACTGATTTTCAGCCCCAGAAAGAGAAGTTTTTCCTTACCTCACTTTTGAAGCCCAGCCACCAGGTTTTCATTTTCTAATTCAGAATGATTGACAATAGGAATATTCATTCCTTTCTGGGAAAATCAACCCAAAGTATACTTTGTGGTACCACTAGGTCAATCATACAGTAATTTGATATCAAGACATATTCTGAAGTTTGGGTTATTCACTTAAATGATACCCATGTCAACTTCAACAGCCTAGTCCAGGTTTCAGTCTGCCCATTCAGTTCAGTTCCTTCTCAGTATCCCTTCAGGAAAGGTTAAAAATCCTTGAGATGCAGCTCACTCAGAGTTACTTTGTCACACATCCCCTGGGCACAGTAAATGAATCAGATGTCCTTCAATAGACACAATAATCTCATGAGGTAGTTTTTTTCATCAGAACCAATGGAAAGCAGAGAGGTAAAGTCGCTTAACCAAGGTCAAGCCTCCAGGAATGCTGGGATTTGAACTGAGGCCTCGATTCCACATTTGTGAATTTAACTATTTGAAACACTGAGGAAGCAGACTGGACATTGAGCTTGAATTTGCATGTCAGGATTTAGAACAATAATTCTATTAATAGAGATGAGGCAAAAAGCCAGAAGAGAAGGTATGATGGAGGAGGAGAAGGGAGGGAGATGGCAGGGTCGATCTGGGCTACGAATTATGAGCCTCTTGGCATCATTGGGTCCCTATCTCTTCTTTATGGTTCTGACTTGGCTTAATGGTTATTGTTCTGAAACACCTTTGTTTCCAAGTTAATCATCATCCTTGACTCTCCAGGGCCCATGTACCAGCCAGTGCTGTGGTGAAGCAGCCTGTTCGGGGAGCCAGTGGCAGGACGACAATCACAGCAATTGTCCAGACTGGCGGGGGCTGGAGCACCGGTCTCTTCAGTGTCTGCAGAGATAGGAGAATTTGTACGTTTTTCCTCCTCATTTAAGTTCCTCCTTACTATTTTCTTTTCCATGACATCAGTGAGTGGAAAAGCTACAGCAGGCACAAGGAAAGAAATTAAATGGTTTCAGAATAACTGGACTAATCGTTCAGTGACTCAAATGTACTCCTTGTCTGGAAAAATCTTGCTTTTCAGAGATATGGATGCTTTTATAGAATAAGTGGTGCCTTCAAAGATTTCTAAATGACAGACTCCACTGTTGGCAAAGTGCATAAAATGAGCTTTCTTATCCAGTGCTGGTGGGAGTGTAAATTGGTACAGCTCTTCTGGGGGATGGTTTAGCAATCCATATAGAAAGAACCTCAGCTGTTGCACAGCTTTTGACCCAGTAATTACATTTTTAGGAGTTTAAGGAGATAAATCATGTGCAAAGATTTAGCAGGAACATTAAATTTTGCAGCATTAGTTATTACAGCAGAAACCTGGAACAACTTAAATGTCCGACAAGAGGAATCCACACAATGAATTATTATACAGCCACGAAAAGTCATATTGTAGAATAATATTTAATCAGATGAAAAGATGATTTGGAAACATTTTTAAGTTAAAGAAACACATTGCAAAACTGTGCACAGTAGATACCATTTTTTTTGGAGAGAGGAAAACATTTTTTAAATGTCTGGAAGAATACAAATACAAATATTTATAGCAGATGTCTCCAGATGGTAGGTTAATGGATAATGTTTATTTCCTTTTTGCTTTTCTTTTTTCAATTGTCTTGGAAGAATACGTAGTACTCATATCAACAAGAACAATCACAAAAAGAAACTCCTTTCCTTGACTGAAATTCTTTCAGACTCTGGTTAGACACTTTTCAGCTCTAAAGAGGGGCAAATAACACTGTCTTCTGGCTACATGAATCCCCCCTGGGCTTAGAGTTCAAAGCTCATCAATTCTATTTTTACCTTAGGACATTCTGACCCATCTTTGGTACCACATGTCAGGATCCCTTTCCAGGACCTGATGGTCTTGCCCTAGGGAGCAATTGGATCACAGCTTCTCTCTGGGAGGAGGGAGGGCATGTGTGATGGCTGAGGGTCAGTCTCTTAAGTTCAAAATCCAGCAGACTCTGGGTAAAATATTTTTGAAGGATATAGCAGCCTTCTGGGAAGATCTGAATTTGTACTAAAGCCTCACAGGACATACCAACCAGAGAACTCTGAGTAAGTACTCATTCAGCTGAATCTTCCCTGTGACCCACAGCTTGGCAAGTCTCTTCCTGTCACTGCTACCCATATGGATTTCTGACCAGACAATTATGGAAGCTGTTCTCTGGTTCTCTCAGAATTCTTCCTGATTCTCTGCTCTTTTCATGACTTTGGTAGTCACCCAGTACTAAGGTACAGAGAGCATAGAGTAGCCATGCACAAATGTGCAGATCTGGTCCCAGAGTAATAAGTGGACCATTTTCTTTCATAGATTATGGTTGGCAGTTGGGGGAACTTCAGTGCACTTGTAACTAGGGCAAAGCCTGGACTGTGGTGTAGTGGTTAGGAGAACAGCTTCATATCATATATATACCTTGAATCCTAACTCTGGCTCTTACTGGCCATGTAACTTTGAACAAGTCCTTTGGGTCTTCATTTTTCCACCTCTAAAATGAAGATAATAAAGGTGCCTACCTCAAGGGTTACTGTAAAGATGAAAACAGATCATGTATAGAACCCACTCTTAACACTGGTTTGAGGCGTAACTGGATCAGTTAGGGATTTAGGGTTGCAAGCTGTACTAGGTTGAGTAGTGTCACCTTGAAATCCATGTTCACTTGGAACCTCTGAATGTGACTTTATTTGGAAATAGAGTGTTTACAATGTAGTCGAATTAAAGTCAATCCTTATTTATAAGAAGAGAGAGATTTGGACACAGACACACAAAGGAGAAGGCCATGTGAAGACAGAGGCAGAGACTGGAGTGACACATCTGCAAGCCAAAGAGCTCCAGCAATTGCCAGCAACCCCCAGAAGCCAGGAAAGAGACAGGGAACAGATTTTCCCTCGGACACCCCAAAAGGAGCGAACTCTGCCAACACTTTGGTTTCACACCTCTAACCTCCAGAATTCTCCCATGAGAGAATAATTCCTGTTGTTTTAAGCCAACCAGTTTGTGGTATTTTGCTACGGCAGCCCTAGGAAACGAACATATAAGCCAACATCGAATTTCATCAGAAGGCCATAGGATAGCTCATAGAATCAATGAGCCAGCTAAAAGCCAAGCCCAGAAAGGGACAAGACGCATTGTTATCAGGTGCTAGCTGACAGTCCGATCAGCTTTAAATGTTTTTATCTTTGTGTCATCCCCATCTGAGAATTGATGTTTCAGTGGAAGCAGCTCCATTTGCTCAGCTTGGATCATGTGCCTACTTCTTGACCAGGCCAGGGTTCTCTGAATGATAGTCCTACCAAATGGTTCACAATAAGGAAGGGATAATTTCCTAAATTTACTATTGGGGTGCAGCTACCAGGAAAATTCAAAAAAATATCATTACAATGCCCTTAGTAAATCTTAGCTATTAATATTACTGTTATTTAAAAAAAATATCCTTCAGCATGTTGAGAGCAAAGAGTGGATGAGTCAGAAGGTTTCCATAAGATGCTGCAGAATGATTTCTACATAATTCTAAGAGCACCTAGAAAAGCTGGTCAAGGAGTTCTCACTTCTCAGCCATACTGTTTGCCTCAAGCATTGCTTCACTGTTCACCTCTGCTCTCAACCCGCATCAACGCTCAGGAACACCAGCCACACTTCCTGAGGATTCCCTGGTTGTCCACTTGAGAGCCCATTCTAGTGAGAAGGGGAGAAGAAAGGATATGTGGAGAAATACAATATTCTTTACAATTGGCACGAAGGAAAGGCCATGGATAGGGTTCAAGGTGATTTCCAATATTGTGTCGTAATTTTTGTTCCCTAGTTGTGCTTCCATATTGTGACTGCTCGTAGTGTTTTAAAGTTAATTGTCTTAGAAGAAAACCTAAAGGTAATATATTACTGTGTACACTCATTATCTGCACTGTAATGCCGAGGATGCTGCTGGAGTGTGAGTGCTACAAGTCTTCGATTTCTTCCTCTCCTTATTCAGAAAGACTTTTAACTGGGGATTGTTTTGTCCACAAAGTTTTATTTCGAGTAAATCACTGTGTACATCGTTTTGACAGACTTGGGAACAAAGGGAGATCTTCTCATGACTGTTCCATGCCAGATTTCCATCCTGGGACATTTTTCCTTCAACTGCTGAGAATTATTGCTACAATTTGTCATCCATTAAGCAAAGGGTACATTACGAACAGCAGTGATTTCCATTTCTTTTTGACATTTTGCTTCTTCATTTTATTGTAATTACGTATTTTAAGTGCCTCCTTCTTCCCACCTCTGTGTTTTCATCTGAATTCACACTGCACTGGGATTAGCAAATGGGTGTCTCTGTGTCCTTTGAAGATAGGGTAGCTGAGAGCTCAGATGTGAAGATTAAACTGAAGTGAAATAAGTGGCTGCTAAGTGGCATTGTGAGTAAAAGACTGGGCAGTCCAGCTTTGGGAATGTTTGTGATGTGGCCTCAGAGAAGGTTTATGCAGAAGGTGTAATCAACTCCTAATTCAGCTCATGATTCAACCATGTTTACTGAGTTTCTTCCCATGTATAGGCACAAGGTGGGTGATACAGACATATTAGTGAATAGGTCAGAGACAGTGTCTTAGAGGAGATGGATAATAAACAAATCTATAGGCCGGGCACGGTGGCTTCCCACCTATAATCCCAGCACTTTGGGAAGCCAACGCGGGCAGATTACTTGAGGTCAGGAGTTCGAGACCAACCATAGCCAACATGGTGAAACCCCATCTCTACTAAAAATACAAAATTAGCTGGGTGTGGTGGTACATGCCTGTAATCCTAGCTACATGGGAGGCTGAGGCAGGAGAATCTCTTGAACCTGGGAGGCAGAGGTTGCAGTGAGCTAAGATTGTGTGACTGCACTCCAGCCTGGGCGACAGAGCGAAACTGTCTCAAAACAAAACAAACAAAACAACAACAGGAAAAATCTGTAAACAAAACAATTGCAGTTGTGAGAAATGCCATGAAGAAATTTAACAGAGTGTTATGAAAGGCAATTACAGGAGAATGGAGTAAAGGACAGCCTCTCTGAGGAGCTGACTTAAGCTGTTACCTGAAAGATAGGAAAGAATCAGCCACTCAAACAGCTTCCCTGTAGCGAGCATTGTAAGCACCAGGCAGTAAAGAGACTGATGTGTAGTAGGAATTATCAGATACCCAAGGTGGGAAGAAGAAAGCAAACCAGAATTTTCCCTGGTTTTCTGGAAAAGGAAGGAGTCATGAGAAGACGTTGGACTGGGATTTGTGTCCTCACACTGCATCTCACATAACCTGTAGACTCCCTGAAAGCAGGGACCACAGTTTTCTTGTTCAATGCTTGATGCCCAGCAGAGCACTTAGACCATAGGAGACACTTAAACATATTTGCTGAATAACACGTAAATGAATTTTAACTTGCATTCTCACTTGCTTCTTTGTCGTATTTAATTGAAAAACTCATAGAGTCTCAGAGTTAGAAGGGATCTTGCGAGTCAGCTTGTCTGGTCCCCCATCTGTTTGCCTAAATCCCCTCTGCAACATGCCAAGACCTGACAGCCTTGACTTTCTGAGCACTTCCAGGGAGGAGGGCTCATTTTCTTTGGACCAAGTTCACCACTTTAAAAAATTATTTTGAATAGACTGCCATGCACATAATGCAGAATTCAAAAGTACCTACCTTTTTCATATATGAAAAGCAAGTAGTACTCCATCCTTGCGCTCTATCCACCTGGTTTTTCTCTCCAGAGTCAAATACCTTTACTTGAGTCCAGATATAGTCTATATACTTATACAGATATAAAAATCTAAAAAGTTAAAATAGATGTTTAATTATAAAAGTATTATATAATCATTATAAAAAAGAAAAATGCAAAAAAC